GTTGCTAAGTGTATGACTAAATAAACAAATTGAGAATTGACATCATTGCACTCGGGACATTCCCACATGTGCACTGTCCCCCTTCAGCAGCCAGCAGAATTCCCATGCCATGGCTAGTAATAGTTGGCCAAACATAAAGTGTTGAATAGCCTCTGTGGGCAGTTCAGATTGGTAGGTCATAGTACTTGTGCTCACCAGGGAGCATTACAGCGGGGATCTGGTTCGGCCCACGATTCTAAATTCGGAGGTGGGCCCACCTGAGTCATGAAGCTCAGGGCTGCTTCCCCGCCGCACAGAATTACCGGATGGTGTTATACTTTCGGCCAGAGACAAGACGACTTGGTGGTTTCGAAGGAGGTTGAGGTACTTGCTGTAGTTGAATAAGATAATGTGAGATAAGAAGCCGCCACGGCAGCGTAATTAGAACAGTCCGCATGCCACTGGACGACCGACCGAGCGACAAGCTTACTTTGGTTTACCGGACACATCTTGGACTTTTATTAGCAGTTGGCAGAGGAACACTGGCAGACAATTCGTACACGATGGACTTTTCAAAGGGATAAGAAACTCTTTTCCACTAGATACCCGGACCAGCTCACCGAGGCCCGTCCCCTACGTTGTTGCGCTGCGTCCAGAGCCAGCTGGATGCCCTTTCGGCCACCTCACCAAGTTTTTTGAGTGCCCGTTTCCGTTCATTACCGCGCAATCCTAACTCTTTAACCACATTGTAGAGCGAAGTGGAAACGAGGCCTCTCGCTCCCACTTCGACGGCAAATACCCGTACTGTGTAAGCCTCGTTTCTCCTCAAACCGGCTGCTAAATCACTGTATTTCTCGAGCTTATACAAATGATTCTCCTCCATCCGCGACTCAAACGGGACCGTCAACTCAATCAGGATGAGTTGCCGTTTTTGCGCAGAATGGAGAACGATGTCCGGTCGCAGGCCGGTTTTACGGATCAACTCGGGATACCGTTCATGTCCTGGCAGATCAACCGCCAGTAACCAGTCCCTCGCAGAGTCTAGCACAGATGGAGCGAATGCGTTTTTGTTGACATAACCTTTTGGAACCTGCCCAGCCTTGAGGAAACGAATGGGGACGATACTAGAACTGGCTCTGGCATTAGCCCTCATTCTAGCCTGGTCGACAACGGCTGCTAACTCTTTTAGCACCTTGTTGTGGCGCCAGGTATAGCGGCCTTGACCTAGGGCTTTCCTGCACGCGGACAGGACGTGCTCAAGAGTTTGCTTTGATTTGCACAACGGGCAAGTCGGATCGTTGGTCGCAGACCATTTAACCATGTTAACACCGGACGGTAATACATCGTACGCCGAACGAACGATAAAGCTCAGTCGCAGCGGGGTCATCCGCCAGATCTCACCCCATGTGAGTATTCTAGGCAATGCGCTCTCCAGGCTGACCCAATGGCCCTGCTGCGACTGCTGGGCTGCTTTCTGAACCCGAATCTCGTTTTCGTTGTCCCTCACCGTTTGTATCACCATGTCTCGGCGTTCTTTGGCTGAAGCCTTTGACCACCAATTGACCTTCCCGTGCCCTAGGCCTCGACGGTCGGTTTGTGTGTAACCCATTACCTCCTTCAATTTTAGTGCGTTCTGAGCAGCTCCTATCGCATCGAGGACCTTCCACTTCTGGCCAGTCTTTAGAGCGGGCTGGACAGCGGTGACATTTGGGTCTGAAGACTCACGCAGAAGCATGGCGAGCCTTACTTTGCCGACTTTAAACTCTTCTGTTATCGACTTGAACGGAAGTACCAGCTTAGCCTGCTTACAATACAGAGCCACGTCGGTCAGACAAGGCGGTGCACCAATCCACTTTCTTAAGGCTGTATTGATTTTCTTTTCCATGGTTTCCACTGCAGTCATCGTCACCTCGTAGACTAGCAGTGGCCATAGAAGCTTCGGAATCAACATGAATTGGAGACACCATACCTTGAATTTCCCGACCAGCCTGCATCGCTCGATCGCGAGCAGGCCTGTAGCCAGTGACTCATGTATTCGCCGGACTTCCGCTCTGTCAGATAACTTCGAATCGTAAACGCGACCGAGACTCTTCACCGGTTCCTCCAGAACCGTAGGGATCTTGTTCCTTGCCACCGTAAAACTGGTCGCCGACACCTTGCCCTTATGGATTGACAGACTCCTCGATTTCTGCGGTTTGAACTGCATACCGCTCCATTGGACCACCGCGTCCAATCTATTCAGGATCGTGCGGGCAGACTCCTCGCTGCCCGTTATTATAGTCGTGTCATCCATAAATGCGCGCAGTGGCGGCAACCAGTGATCCCCTATTTGAAGGCCCAGTCCGTAGCCGGCCGCCCCGTCTAACACGATCTGCATTGCCATGACAAACAGTATAGGTGAGATCGTACACCCCATAGCTATCCCAATCTGCAACTCAGTCCACCTCGTGGTAAACGTCGAGGTAGAGAAGCGCAAAGCGAACTTGGAGAAATATTGCTCGACCATTTGACTGATCTGTGTCGGTACGTGAAACATGCGAAGGGCTCGCCACAGTAGCCTATGGGGGACTGCCCCGTAGGCGTTGGCTAAGTCCAACCATATAACGTGCAAATTGGTTCTCTCATGCTTGGCTCTCTGGATAGCCTCCCAGATCATGGTCGCGTGTTCAAGGCACCCAGGAACGCCTGGAATGCCACCCTTCTGAACACTCGTATCTATGTACTTGTTAGTCATCAGATACTGTGTGAGCCGGCGAGCCATGACTGAGAAGAATATCTTACCCTCAACATTCAACAGCGAGATGGGCCTGAATTGGGAAAGACTCTTCGAGTCCTGCTCTTTGGGAATGTAGACCCCATTTGCCTTTGACCACTCTGGACATATGTGATTGCGGATCCACGCTTGTCTCAACAACAGACGTGAAGCATTTTTAGGATTTTCGGGCAACGCTTGTAAAGAACGTACGGAACACCGTTCGGACCTGGGGCAGACTTGCCGCTGGCTTTTTTCACAACGTCCTCAACCTCAGACCAAAGGGGAGGTACCAGTTTAAATGGTACCTTCGGCACCGAAGGCTGTTTGAGTCCGCTAAGGATCTCTGGATTGTCATCAAGAGGCTCTCTCCTCTTCTTATCAGAGTACATCTTGCTTAGATGTAGCTCAAGTTCTTTCTGACTGACAACCAGAGTCCCAGACTTCGGTTGCTCGAATAGACCTCGGGCAAACTGATACGGGTCCCTAAAGAATTTCTCTCGCTCCCTTTTAGTTCTTCGTCTGTTGTTACAGAAACGCTCGGCGCGACAGAGGGCACTGTGTTTGTTCTTTAAATGCACCCACACTTCGTACAGCCCCTCCCGTTCGCTGCCCGTAGCGGCTTTGAACTGTTTTCTGAGGGCATTCTTGTCTGCCCGACACTTCAGAATGTCCCTCTGCCTCCTGCTAGTATTCTGCTTGGCACCCGGCTGTGCCTTAACTACTGTCCCGAACTCGCGGGAGCAGTGTTCATATATTACATCACCAAATTTAGTAAGCTTGTCGCCTAGCGACTTCTTGTTTAGAGTTTGTTTAAGTACCTCACATAATGTAGCCTCCAACTTACACCACACCACCTTCTCGCTCGCAGGTGGAAACCTGATTCTGGAGCGCACTTCTTCAGAAATCATCAAAGGTGCTCCTCCGCAGTCGACGTCATGGGCCTCTCCGGGCGAGTGGGGTTCCCCCTGCCCGTCGTTCCCTAACGACTCAGAAACTACCACAGGAGTAGTAGTTTTGCGACGGCGTTTACTGCGTGGAGCACCCTCGCATTTCATTCTTCCGGCATGCGTTCTCAGACCATGCAACCCCGTGAAGCTTTTCCCACATGTACAGAGCCAGCCCGGACGTTGGGCGAGTGTCTCAGTCCGGGGGCTAGCAAGGTCGTCAACGAGGGTATCAATCAGATTGGGCCCTTCATTCTCCCCCCCTTTCGGAGGGCCCTGGGGGCATATTTCATTGTGGTTGTTCGAAATCGGAGGTATTATACTGTGTTAGGGGTGATCAACCCGGTCCACAGTCGACATCTGTCTCCAGATGTCAGTTTATCCCCCCGGCGATACCGGGGGGCCAGTCTTTCCATAGGTGTCAAAAGGACTTTCCCGATAGTCACCAGTCTTTCCTGGTAGTCTTGTGGGCTAGCCACGTACAATAAGAATAAACTCACAGGGAGCAAGTACAGCGGGGATCTACAGTCATCAGTAGAAATTATCCTCTTTCGACACACGTTTCGGCCCACGATTCCTAAACGTATTCGGAGGTGGGCCCACCTGAGTTCATGAAGCTCAGGGCTGCTTCCCCGCCGCACAGAATTACCGGATGGTGTTATACTTTCGGCCAGAGACAAGACGACTTGGTGGTTTCGAAGGAGGTACTGTGAGATAAGAAGCCGCCACGGCAGCGTAATTAGAACAGTCCGCATGCCTGGACGACCGAGCGACAAGCTTACTTTGGTTTACCGGACACATCTTGGACTTTTATTAGCAGTTGGCAGAGGAACACTGGCAGACAATTCGTACACGATGGACTTTTCAAAGGGATAAGAAACTCTTTTCCACTAGATACCCGGACCAGCTCACCGAGGCCCGTCCCCTACGTTGTTGCGCTGCGTCCAGAGCCAGCTGGATGCCCTTTCGGCCACCTCACCAAGTTTTTTGAGTGCCCGTTTCCGTTCATTACCGCGCAATCCTAACTCTTTAACCACATTGTAGAGCGAAGTGGAAACGAGGCCTCTCGCTCCCACTTCGACGGCAAATACCCGTACTGTGTAAGCCTCGTTTCTCCTCAAACCGGCTGCTAAATCACTGTATTTCTCGAGCTTATACAAATGATTCTCCTCCATCCGCGACTCAAACGGGACCGTCAACTCAATCAGGATGAGTTGCCGTTTTTGCGCAGAATGGAGAACGATGTCCGGTCGCAGGCCGGTTTTTTGAATGCTGTATTCATTAGTTATATGTTGAATAATGTTCTACTGTCAGCCTGATTACTAGAGGTTTGCTGCACATATTTTTTGGGTTTGCCATTTGTGAGAGTAGTACTGGTTGTTCTCCAGACTGAGTTTAATGATAGGCTTAGTGCTGGCTGGGATAGGCTTAGTGATGGGTGGGATAGGCTTAGTGCTGGCTGGGATAGGCTTAGTGCTGGCTGGGATAGGCTTAGTGCTGGCTGGGATAGGCTTAGTGCTGGCTGGGATAGGCTTAGTGCTGGCTGGGATAGGCTTAGTGCTGGCTGGGATAGGCTTAGTGATGGCTGGGATAGGCTTAGTGATGGGTGGGATAGGCTTAGTGATGGGTGGGATAGGCTTAGTGATGGGTGGGATAGGCTTAGTGATGGGTGGGATAGGCTTAGTGCTGGCTGGGATAGGCTTAGTGCTGGGTGGGATAGGCTTAGTGATGGGTGGGATAGGCTTAGTGATGGGTGGGATAGGCTTAGTGATGGGTGGGATAGGCTTAGTGATGGGTGGGATAGGCTTAGTGATGGGTGGGATAGGCTTAGTGCTGGGTGGGATAGGCTTAGTGCTGGGTGGGATAGGCTTAGTGCTGGCTGGGATAGGCTTAGTGCTGGCTGGGATAGGCTTAGTGATGGGTGGGATAGGTTGAGTGCTGGCTGGGATGGGTTGAGTACTGGCTGTTATGGGCCTAGTGTTGTGCTGCACAGAATCACTCATGGTGTTGTAACTTGACACAGTTTTGAAAATATTTCAGTTTGTTGATTGTGGAGTCATCTATGTACTTATGTGTCTGAGAGACATGTGTTTGCACTGTTTATCTGTCCTGCATTCAATATACTAAACACGTCTGTGAATGGATCACCATCTGTTATATCTCACACATTTCTAAAAGAATGACAGATAGAAAGAGAGACTGTAATGTGTGTTGATAATATGAAGAGTCACCTGTCAATATTGAGATTCCCTGGCTGTGACTTTCTTAGGGTGATGCTGGTGCCCCCCCATTGTGATTATCTGAGTGTGTGCCCCTTGGTGTGTTTGTCTGACTGTGTGCCCCCTGGTGTGTTTGTCTGACTGTGTGCCCCCTGGTGTGATTATCTGAGTGTGTGCCCCTGGTGTGATTGTCTGAGTGTGTGTCCCCTGGTGTGTTTGTCTGACTGTGTGCCCCCTGGTGTGTTTGTCTGAGTGTGTGCCCCCTGGTGTGTTTGTCTGAGTGTGTGCCCCCTGGTGTGATTGTCTGAGTGTGTGCCCCCTGGTGTGATTGTCTGACTGTGTGCCCCCTGGTGTGTTTGTCTGAGTGTGTGCCCCCCTGGTGTGATTGTCTGAGTGTGTGCCCCCTGGTGTGATTGTCTGAGTGTGTGCCCCCTGGTGTGATTGTCTGACTGTGTGCCCCCTGGTGTGTTTGTCTGAGTGTGTGCCCCCTGGTGTGATTGTCTGACTGTGTGCCCCCTGGTGTGCCACCCTGCATCGCTGCCTTTATGACTATCCTGAGCAGCAGGGTGGTCTAACTGCACCAAGTCTGATTGGTTTTCACACTTGGAGAGTACAGAAACACTTGACCGGCGATTCTGGTTAGAAGTTCAGTTGTGAGCAAGGTATTTAGAGGATGTCTACATTTATGATTTATTTATTAATACATTCTTTCATACACATGAAAGAGAAAAAAACTATTTTTGTCTATAACCTAACGATTTGGATTCTCTACACTTGGTATAGAGTTACAATAAAATACCTACAAAACTTGGGCTGTGTTTAGTTGCTTGTGTCTTTATTAACCTGTTGTTGATTTCTTGATGTAGATATTTGGATTACATGATTCAGGTACTGACTGTATGTCATATATGTACAGTAATTTGTGACTGCATCACATGAACTCTTGTCTGAACCACATAAACCCTTGTCTGAACCACATAAACCCTTGTCTGAACCACATAAACCCTTGTCTGAACCACATAAACCCTTGTCTGAACCACATAAACCCTTGTCTGAACCACATAAACCCTTGTCTGAACCACATAAACCCCTGTCTGAACCACATAAACCCCTGTCTGAACCACATAAACCCCTGTCTGAACCACATAAACCCCTGTCTGAACCACATAAACTCTTGTCTGAACCACATAAACTCTTGTCTGAACCACATAAACCCTTGTCTGAACCACATAAACCCTTGTCTGAACCACATAAACCCTTGTCTGAACCACATAAACCCTTGTCTGAACCACATAAACCCTTGTCTGAACCACATAAACCCTTGTCTGAACCACATAAACCCTCGTCTGAACCACATAAATACTTGTCTGAACCACATAAACCCTTGTCTGAACCATATAAACCCTTGTCTGAACCATATAAACCCTTGTCTGAACCACATAAACTCTTGTCTGAGCCACATAAACCCTTGTCTGGACCATTTAAACCCTTGTCTGAACCAAATAAACCCTTGTCTGAACTATATAAACCCTTGTCTGAACCACATAAAAACTTGTCTGAACCATGTCATCCTGGTGTCCAACATTTACATCATAGAATCCTCACTGCTACATCACACAGTCCCATCACCCACATTACACAGTCCTGGAGTGCCCACACCACACAGTCCTATCACCCACATCACACAGTCTCATCACCCATATCACACAGTCCCATCAACCACATCACACAGTCCTGGAGTGCCCACACCACACAGTCCTATCACCCACATCACACAGTCCCATCACCCATATCACACAGTCCTGGTGTGCCCACACCACACAGTCCTATCAACCACATCATACACTCCTGGTGTGCCCACATCACACAGTCCTATCACCCACATCACACAGTCCTGGTGTGCCCACATCACACAGTCCCATCAACCACATCACACAGTCCCATCAACCACATTACACAGTCCCATCACCCACATCACACAGTCCTGGTGTGCCCACATCACACAGTCCCATCAACCACATCACACAGTCCCATCAACCACATCACACAGTCCCATCAACCACATCACACAGTCCTGATGTGCCCACATCACACAGTCCCATCAACTACATCACACAGTCCCATCAACCACATTACACAGTCCCATCAACCACATCACACAGTCCTGGTGTGCCCACATCACACAGTCCCATCAACCACATCACACAGTCCCATCAACCACATCACACAGTCCCATCAACCACATCACACAGTCCCATCCACCACATCACACAGTCCCATCACTCACATCACACAGTCGTGGTGTGCCCACATCACACAGTCCCATCACCCACATCACACAGTCCTGGTGTGCCCACATCACACAGTCCCATCAACCACATCACACAGTCCTGATGTGCCCACATCACACAGTCCTGATGTGCCCACATCACACAGTCCTGATGTGCCCACATCACACAGTCCCATCAACCACATCACACAGTCCCATCAACCACATCACACAGTCCCATCAACCACATCACACAGTCCTGATGTGCCCACATCACACAGTCCTGATGTGCCCACATCACACAGTCCCATCAACCACATCACACAGTCCCATCAACCACATCACACAGTCCCATCAACCACATCACACAGTCCCATCAACCACATCACACAGTCCCATCAACCACATCACACAGTCCCATCAACCACATCACACAGTCCCGTCAACCACATCACACAGTCCCATCTACCACATCACACAGTCCCATCAACCACATCACACAGTCCCATCAACCACATCACACAGTCCCATCAACCACATCACACAGTCCTGGTGTGCCCACATTACACAGTCCCATCAACCACATCACACAGTCCTGGTGTGCCCACGTCACACAGTCCCATCACCCACATCACACAGTCCTGGTGTGCCCACATTACACAGTCCTGGTGTGCCCACATTACACAGTCCTGGTGTGCCCACGTCACACAGTCCCATCACCCACATCACACAGTCCTGGTGTGCCCACATTACACAGTCCTGGTGTGCCCACGTCACACAGTCCCATCACCCACATCACACAGTCCTGGTGTGCCCACATTACACAGTCCTGGTGTGCCCACATTACACAGTCCTGGTGTGCCCACGTCACAAAGTCCCATCACCCACATCACACAGTCCTGGTGTGCCCACGTCACACAGTCCCATCACCCACATCACACAGTCCTGGTGTGCCCACATCACACAGTCCTGATGTGCCCACATCACACAGTCCTGATGTGCCCACATCACACAGTCCCATCAACCACATCACACAGTCCCATCAACCACATCACACAGTCCCATCAACCACATCACACAGTCCTGATGTGCCCACATCACACAGTCCTGATGTGCCCACATCACACAGTCCCATCAACCACATCACACAGTCCCATCAACCACATCACACAGTCCCATCAACCACATCACACAGTCCCATCAACCACATCACACAGTCCTGATGTGCCCACATCACACAGTCCCATCAACCACATCACACAGTCCCGTCAACCACATCACACAGTCCCATCTACCACATCACACAGTTCCATCAACCACATCACACAGTCCCATCAACCACATCACACAGTCCTGGTGTGCCCACATTACACAGTCCCATCAACCACATCACACAGTCCTGGTGTGCCCACGTCACACAGTCCCATCACCCACATCACACAGTCCTGGTGTGCCCACATTACACAGTCCTGGTGTGCCCACATTACACAGTCCTGGTGTGCCCACGTCACACAGTCCCATCACCCACATCACACAGTCCTGGTGTGCCCACATTACACAGTCCTGGTGTGCCCACGTCACACAGTCCCATCACCCACATTACACAGTCCTGGTGTGCCCACATTACACAGTCCTGGTGTGCCCACATTACACAGTCCTGGTGTGCCCACGTCACACAGTCCCATCACCCACATCACACAGTCCTGGTGTGCCCACGTCACACAGTCCCATCACCCACATCACACAGTCCTGGTGTGCCCACGTCACACAGTCCCATCACCCACATGACACAGTCCTGGTGTGCCCACATTACACAGTCCTGGTGTGCCCACGTCACACAGTCCCATCACCCACATTACACAGTCCTGGTGTGCCCACGTCACACAGTCCCATCACCCACATTACACAGTCCTGGTGTGCCCACATTACACAGTCCCATCAACCACATTACACAGTCCTGGTGTGCCCACATTACACAGTCCCATCAACCACATCATACACTCCTGGTGTGCCCACGTCACACAGTCCCATCACCCACATCATACACTCCTGGTGTGCCCACGTCACACAGTCCATTAACCACATCATACACTCCTGGTGTGCCCACGTCACACAGTCCCATCAACCACATCACACAGTCCTGGTGTGCCCACACCACACAGTCCCATCAACCACATCACACAGTCCTGGTGTGCCCACATCACACAGTCCCATCAACCACATCACACAGTCCTGGTGTGCCCACATCACACAGTCCTGGTGTGCCCACACCACACAGTCCCATCACCCACATCACACAGTCCCATCACCCACATCACACAGTCCTGGTGTGCCCACATCACACAGTCCCATCACCCACATCACACAGTCCTATCACCCACATCACACAGTCCCATCACCCACATCACACAGTCCCATCAACCACATCACACAGTCCCATCAACCACATCACACAGTCCCATCAACCACATCACACAGTCCCATCACCCACATCACACAGTCCTGGTGTGCGCCC